CAGGAGAAACGGGGGAGCGTCGACTTCAACAGGAAGCTAGAGCCCCGAACCTGGCACCCTAAACATCCCCAAACCCAAATCCGAAAGAGCGCGAAACTTGTGAACCCCAAACCACCTTGTGCTAAACCCCACCCCGAAACGGTACATCCGGGGTGGGCTTGTGGGGTTGCAGTATGGGCGCTTAGATTCTACCTGAAATCCTGAACCGCCGAAGTCCTAAGCCCGAAGCTGCAGTCTCCCGGTTTAGGGGTTTTAAGGGTTAGGGTTTAGGGGTTTAGGGTTTAGGGGTTTAGGGTTCAGGGGTTTAGGGTTTAGGGTACTAAGTTTGGAGGTGTCTGAAGCATGCATCTGCACAACGGCTAGGAATCCCATGATCTCGGAAAGCAGCATTGCCGCCAACCGAACACAATAGTATAGCTACCTGTTCTGTTTCGAAAATAATCCGAAATTCTTAACTGAAAGCCCGTCATGCCGATTGTCCCAAAGCTTCAAAATCAGGTTACCAACATCAACAACACCATTACCACCACCAACAAACCCAGCACCACCGGAACCGCCAGCACCGCCAGTACCTCCGATAGCAGCAACAACAACAACAACAACGACGACGACGACGACGACAACGACGACGACAACGACAACGACAACGACAACGACAACAACAACAACAACAACAACAACAGCAACAACAGCAACAACAGCGACGACGAGGACGACGGCGCGATGCTAAACACATATAGCAAACACACCCGACACAACATTGACAACAGCAGCAACAGTGACCTGTTATGCCACTACCAATCAGCAACAGCGCTTCTAAGGGGGATGCCAACCGAAATAATGATGTTAATACTTATTAACCATAGCACCGGCGGGATCAGGTAGTTGTAGCAGTAGCAATGACAAAAACAGACCACTGGCGATAACACAGTTGTGCACCGCAGACGCTATGACGATAAGAAAATACAATACGCAACCCTAAAATCGAGAGCAGAAACCCCGAACCTCTTGACCTTGCCTTCAACACAACCAGACCCTAAAGCCGAAACCTATCAAACCTAGATCCGTCATCCTTAAACCTGAGCTATGTGACCCAACAGCCCAAGCTGTTATAACCCCAAAACATAGAACCCTCTGCCCTCCGGAACCCTACAGCCCAAACCCCTACGATTAGACCCAGAATGATGACGGAGTCATGATGATCGGTATACCGTAGCAGACGTCTTTAGGATATGTTGTCGTGATTAGTATATGCTCTTACTGCCACTATAGTTTGTATTTCTTGAGTTGTTTCTGCATTATCGCACTCAAGCCATTGTAAACCCTAAACCCTAAACATAAAGCTCCTGGCATGGCCACTCTGCGACCCCTGGCAGAAGAAGGAGAAGTTGTTCTATGGGGTTTAGGGTTTAGGGGGGCTTAGGGTTTGAGAGGTTCTAAAGGGGCTTCCATACGGGGCTCTGAACAGCTCTATACGGGTTTCCGTATGGGCTCTAGAAGAGGTTCTATAAAGTCTGCCGACCGAGTGATTTCATCCAAAGCGGATTGCATCTGAACCGCTCCTGGTTGCGCATGGTGGGTGTGTTTCCTGATCGTCGTGAACGCATTTGGGTTGTTGCATTCAAGCTCCCTTCAGCGCCCCTTCGGCGAAGGGTCTGGGCCCTGCACGTTGATCAAGCTGCATAATTGCGTGAAGACCTTCAAATGGTATGTCTTCAATCCTCTGGAAGTTTAGGGCTAGAAACATTTCTCCGCAGATATCCTGCGACCCCTGCCTTATCTTCCAATGCGCTCGGGTGCCAGGCATACCTTGTGCCCATTTCTCCGGGTTTACATGGTGTCCTTGAAAGCCCTAAACCCCCAAACCAAACCAAACCAACAGTTCTCTAGAACAGGCTCAAAGAAGAAAACCACACACTGGGATTTCTTATTGGGCTCTGTTTCGGAAGCAGAACCTTGAGTTGAAAACAAGAGTCACGGGCTTTCTTATCTAGAACAATTTAGGTTTTAGGGTTTAGGGGTTTAGGGTTTAGGGTTTAGGGTTTAGGGAGGTGAGCCGGGTGCTCAGTGGCAAAATTGAAGCTCTCGGGCTGCACCTCATGATTCCTTCAAAGCCCAAAACCCTAAACCCTAAACCCTAAACCCTAAACCTTAAACCCTAAACCCTAAACCCTAAACCCTAAACCCTAAACCCTAAACCCTAAACCCTCAACCCAAGCCTTAAAAACCTCAAGACCCGAGCCTTAGTCCGAAACCAACACCTACCTTCACCCACCACAACCTACTTTTTTGTAGGGTCCCTATAAGTCCCATATCTGGGTGTATAATGATAGCCTACAAAAAAAGGTGGGTTTTGGTAGGTTAAGGTAAACCCTCTTTTGAACGTTGGCGCCCCAACCCTCAACTTGGAAAGAGTTCTGTAGGGGTTTTCCAGGGGTCTTCTGCGAAGAGTATACAGTGTATACAGGAGAAGAATATTGTACCAGGCAAAGAACAAACTGCCGTTCATGAGGGTATGGTCTTGTATTAAAATCAGGTGAAGATCTTATGTAGTTTACTAGGGTTGATTCTTAATTAAAGGCTTTTGGGTTCAGTGGAACCTCGTTGCATGGGGTTGAGGCCTGGGAGTTTAGGGTTTAGGGCTTAGGGCTTAGGGTTTAGCGTTTAGGGCTTAGGGTTTAGGGCATAGGGTTTAGGGTTTAGGGCTTTTTCCTCATTGGCACGGCTTGCCTTGATGAGGAGTTACTTGATCCTTCTGCGATTCCACTCTCTCGTGTTTGGGTGCTCCACCATTTGTTTTCTGCGTTTCGTGGTTTGGCGCTTTCTGTAAGCTTGATTCCTTCAGGATAATGCCCGGCCAGTCATTCCTGATATTTAAGTATTGAAGGATCGAAGTCAATTGATCCGGCTTTGCCGAAACCAGCTCTCTCCTTACAGAAAGGCACCCTGTTCCCAATCATCCTCAACCCGAAACCCTAAACCCTGTTCCCAACCTGCCTCAATTCGGAAACAGCAACATGCGCAGGGTAAAGGCCATACTCATGGGGAACCTAGGAGGTCTAGGGTTTAGGGTTAGGGTTTAGGGTTTCGGGGTTTAAGGTTTAGGGCTCACTTTGACCCCCACTAAACCTACCTCTGCAGGACTTTTTTAAACAAATCATGGGAAGCTTCGGAGCTCCTAATACAAGTAGGTTCTATAATCATAATAGGGAACCCCCCAGGATAAGACAGGTAATTATTGAGGCCCCTACACTATTCATGGTAGAATCCCTAGAAGCAGGTGCTCCGCCTGCTGGAGCCTGTGCCAGGGCAGCCAGCAGATCACCAGGCCGTTGAGGCGCACCTCGGCCAGCCTGAAGCCTCTACCCCTCAGCTCCGAGGCATCCCTCAGCACGCAGCCATTGTGCTGTCCCTCCAGGGCATGGAGGGCTGGAAACACCATGTTCTCCTTAACCTCAGAGGAAGGCACCATGCGGCTGACTAGGGTCCCGACTGTCAGCATGAGCTTGTGCCCCGGGGAGGACTCGTCGAGCCCGTAGGCCACAAAGCGAGCCCAGCTGTCTGGCACCTCCCGCTCCTTGCTGCCCAGCCCGTGTTCATTCACGCTCCGGACGATCCTGCTGGCCAGCGTGAGATCGCTGGAGATATCCACGGGGCGAAACTTCCAGCGAGGCACCAGCCGCTTCTGATGCAGGGGATCCCACTCATCGGTCGTCATTCTGCCAGAGAGGATGTTCAGCAGGTGGTGTAGGCATGCGGCGAAGAGCTTGTCCCCCTGCAGCACTTCCTGCAGATGCTCCAGCATGGCATCCGCCTCTCTCGGCTGCTTCAGGCAGGGGGCAAGCAGAGATGTGGCAGCCGCACGCAGGGCGGCAAGACACAGCGAAGGAAGCTGGCGCTGCAGGCCCTCCACGCCAGTCTGAGCATGAGGATTGTCATGCATCTCCCACTGGAAGCCCACGGCCAAGAGCCTGGCCGCCATCCGCGAGAGCCACCTGGCTGCCTGCCAGCAGGCCTCCTCTCGTGTCGATGCCAGATGGCAGTGAGGCAGTAGGGGCGGTGGCGAGCCTGGTAGCAAGTCAGCAGATAGCGTGGCTTGACGTTGGTGCCACAGAGGCTTGCCAGAGCCCAGTTAAGCCAGCTGCCTTCTTCTTCCATGAGTGAGTGCAGCTTGTGAATCTCTTTGCGGGCAAGCAAGAGGAAGCATGCCACGAGGCTGTGGCAGTAGACCTCGTCCCCAGAGGGCTGCTTGGGATCGAGGCTCTGAAGGCGCTTGCGCGAGGCATTGTCACACGCCCTGAAGGCCTCTTCCATGCTGGAGTAAGGAGTCGCCCAGCTGCAAACCAGGCTTGGGGCGCAGGAGTCCAGGGCATTCGTGAGAAGAAAGCGTAGCTGGCGCCAACGGTTGGGGATTCCATCCACCACCACCTCCGGACTCTTGGCCATGCTCACAAAGCTGCTGAGAAGCGCAGGGTTGACATCAAGGGTCGACTTCATGTACTCCTGCAAAGCCGTGAAGATCTTGAGGTTGTGCTCCTTGAGATCTTTCGGCGTCCTGTCATCCTTCTCTTGACAGGTCCAGAAGGTGAAGGCCTCCTCCACCATGAAGGTGAACTGCTCGTTCTTCACATTCTCCCAGCCACACAGGTCCTCGAAGAGCATCGGCATGGCCAAAGCACACAGGGGAAGAATTTGCCGTGCTAAAATGAGACTACACGCGGCTGCGGAAAAAGGTTAAAAATATATATACATGGGGGCATAGGCCAAAAAATGCACGTGCAACAAAGGTCCTATGTCGGCCGCATTTTTTTTTCTGTCCAGGCTCCGTCCGTGAGTCTAGCGCTTGGCGGCCGCTGCCTTGCCGCTGCCGGTCTTCTTTGCTTTGCTCTTCTTCTTCGCCTTGCCCTTGGCCGCCGCCTCGGCGGCCTTCTTATCCCTCTTCTCTCTGTGCCTGTTGTCGCACAGCCAGCTTCTTCTCCTTCTCCTCCCTCGCGCGGCTCTGGCGCTCTTTGCGAATGGCATCCTCGTCAGCCTTGGTGGGCCTCAACCCCACGCTCACGTAGCGCACTGCATCCACGAGCCGGTGGTGCAGCGCCTGCAGGCGATCTGCCAGCAAGGGAGCACCGCCTCCGACCGCAAAGCCACGGCGCGTGCTGGCAGCATAGTGCAGACGGAAGGCCACAGCTGCAGCCAAGCACTCCTCATCTATCTGTGGGTCTTCTGACCAGCCTGCGAGCTGTTGCAGGCGCAGCTTCTCGGCGTTCATGGCAATGTCAAGCTGTTGGACCGCACTGACCATCATCTTCGAAGCGTCCCTGACCTGAAAGGGGTCCCATGTCCCGTCATCTTTCAGGCAGGCCTTGTAGACTTTGCACAGAACCCCAGGGTCCACGCGCTGTGTGGAAACCCCCCTGGAAGGCATCACGGAGTGACTGCAAGATGACCTCCTGCTCCAGCCCCAGGACGATGCAGGGGCGGCCCTCGTAGCTGGCAGTGTGCCCCATGAGAGGCTCCAGCCGCTTGAAGGTCTCATCATTCTTAGCCTGCTTCTGGAGGGTGCGAATGGCCTTAGAGAGGCGTTGCTGGGAGAGAGGCTCCTCCCCTCCGGAGCTGCGCTGGAGCACCTCCTCAATGTTGTCGAGGCCAGAGGGAGGCGCATTGAAGAGCTTGTACGTGTTGGTGTCCAGCAGGAGGATGTTGTGGTCACCCACGCTGTTGTGTCGCTGCTTCTTCTTAGCGGGGGCAGCGGCGGGAGCAACAGCGCTCTCGGCAGCAGCGCTCTCGGCAGCAGCGCTCTCGGCAGCCGGAGGGGGCGACATCACTGCTTCCATGTTAGCCATCCGCAGACACGCTGACAAGAAGAAAGCTGAATCCTAGCTGTTCGAAAGAGAACCTGAAATGGCTATCTATACAAATACTACGACGACACAGGCAGAATTGTCAGACAACCTCTGAATGACAGGCCCTCTCCCTTCCCCCCCCCTCTCTTTTTTCAGACAGTCTGTTAGATCATGCTGCCCTACCCGTCCGGACGCACCTGTAGTGCACCGCCAAAACCAAGGACAAGACAGTCCAGTTTCGCTTGAAAGCGCTACACGTGCTTCTCAAGAAAGGGAGGTAGGACGCTGTCCCTTGCCCTCATTACGGCCAGGTGCCGGCGGCCTTTTCCGGCAGACGTCAAATCTCACACCTGGAAGGCTTTCTCATGCCTGGGAGGCTGAGCCGAGAGCTTGTGCATTGGCCTCGGCCTCCCGCTCCAGCTCTTCGGCCATTCTCTGCTGTGCCACAGCTGCCCTGTACTTCGGCCAGAAGCGGAGCTCTTTCTTAACGTGCTCCTCCATGATGTCCATGATCTTGCCTTCATCCTCACCTGCCTTCTTCAAGGCATTCAGAGTCGCACGGGAAGGTTGCTGAACCACACAGGCGAGAACCATCTCCAACACGCGCTGCGGGATAACTCCAGCCGTCGTGTCGTTATGCAGCCTTCCCAGCACAATGCGGGCCAGTGGCAACAGCTGCTGCAGATTGCCGGGAGGGCGCGGAGGGCGCATCTTGACTGGCTCATTGCCATCCTCTTCGTCGCTGGTTGTCTCTTCCTCGTCCCTTCCTTCATCATTCGTGTTGTTCTCCTTCTGGCGCCCTTCCTCGCCTTCAGCCTCCTCTGTGTTCCTGGACATGTCTGCAGGGCCCTCCTCCTCTGGCCGAGCTCGCTTGGTCCTCGTCCGCAGCAGGCCTTCGAGCCAAGCGTTCAGGGGAAGCCCGGCAACTTTCAGCACTCTGCAGCGCTCGGCTGCCGTAGCGATGAGGTCCCCCAGGAACCCGTAACCCTAAAACCCTAAACCCTAAACCCTAAACCCTAAACCCTAAAACCCTAAATCCCTAAACCCTCCCACCTTCTCCAGCGCCTGTTCCACCCGCACGCCTCCCACCTCCAGAAGTCGCATGATCACTTGTTTAGACTTGGGGTTTAGGGTTTAGGCTTTAGACTTTGGGATTATAGGGTTAGCGTCCAGGGTTTTGGATCTAGGGTTTAGGGTTTAGGGTCTAGGGTTTAGGGTTCTGAGCCCCTCCAAACAGTCAAACTTTTAGTCTCCTTACTATGGCTCATACAGACAACCCAAAAGTTAAAGTTCTAAGAGCCAACCAGAAGAACACCAAGGTTATGTAGGGCTTTCAACGCTTTTGGATGCTTTTAGGGTTTAGATTTATCTCTTAGTGAGTCTTAGGGCTTTCGGGCTCAAGGTTACGATCTGCGTGTTGGGCCTTGGAGGATGGTGGCCCAAACCCTAAGCATCAGCCCTAAACCCCAAACTCTAAACCTAAACTGATTCCCTGTTGGGGCTATATTAAAGAATGATCATGTTTAATCCTTGTTGGGCCTTTATTATAACAAAAATGTAAAGTTGTAGCCGACAAGGACCCAGTAAACCGCATAATAGAAGGTTTGAGCAATTCTGCAACTTCCTCTCTGCCCCACCCTCACCCTGCAGCCTGGAGCCCCAAAACTCTACCCTAAACCCTCCAGAAAACACGGAACCCTAGTGGCCCTAGTATCGATCCTAAAATGACAGATCCTTAGTAAGCCTTTGTATGACGACCCAGAGAAGCGACCCCTATTTCTAGGAGCTCCCCCAGCATAAGCCCTAAACCCTGAACCCTACACTCCAAGCCCCATCTGATACTGTTGGTAGTATAAGTCCTGCATTACTTTTAAGGACCCTAAACTATGGGAATTATGGTATATTCCTTATTACAAGTAATGCAGGATTTATATCGTCAACCCTAAACCCTAAACGCTATATCACAGTCGTTGAAGCAGGCTCGGGGAGGCACTGTGTGCATCGCATCGAGCTCCGGCCGCATGGTGCCTCTTGCTTTCAGAGGGCGAACTGAAGGTTCCTTAAGAGTTGTATAGGGGAGTTTTTGGTTTAAGGCTTAGGGTTTGTTTCGGGTTTAGTGTTTGTTTAGGGTTTAGGGTTTGTTCAGGGTTTGTTTAGGGTTTAGGGGTGTGTCAGCAAGCATAAGATGTAGGGTGGTTATTCTACCAGTTTATCTTTGCAGATTGGGGCTTTCGGTTTGGAAGTGTGGTGGGTATGAGGTCTTTCTGCAGTGAGAACCAGAATGATGCAATTTGATTATCTGAGACGCTAAGACCCTAGGGTTTTAGGGTTTAGGGTTTAGGGGTTTAGGGTTTAGGGTTTAGGGGAAACCCACCAGCCGGCATGGCCTTGGAAGATCGGGCCTGCTGCTACAGCGTATCACACGCGACCGTGGTGGTGTTCTACTACATTCTGCGGTCGTATTTAACAGCCTTTTCAACCCTAAACCTTAAGGCCCTAAGCCCTAAACCCTAGACCCCAAACAAAACCCAATTCCCTAAGCCCTAAACCCTAAACCCCGAACCAAACCCAATTCCCTAAACTCTAAGGAGGAGTCTTGGGTTGGCTTAGATGCATCTCATGTTTCTTCAAAGCACCGTCACACCACTCTCGGCCATGAGCAGAAGTATCAGGGCGTAGGGCATACTCTCAGGGTCCAAGTAAGGGGACGCCGTTTCAGTTTCAGGTTCAAAAGACTCATAGATGCTGCGCTGCAGCTCCAATCGCACGTCAGATCACTCGGTTCGCAAGATGCGTGATTGAACTCGTCATGCCGGTTTCCTGCTGTTTCCACGCCCTAAACCCTAAACCCTA